TGCGAATTTCTTTAACTTAACAGCTGCGTTAGTGTGACCACCTGCTGACGGAGCTCTTTGAAGGCTTCAGTTGTAACGATCGCCGACTGAGGTGCGGGCACTCCTGACGACTCTTCTTGAGGAGCCGGTTGATCTTCAGCAGGATGAGGACTGGGAGTGGATGAGCTTGCGAGAGGAAGACCTGATCGTGTGTTAACCATAGCATTTGGTAGCGTTTCCCATAGATGGCGCCAATGATGCTACCAAAAATCGTACCTATTGGTTTCCCGAGTTTGAGGATTTTGAATGAGCACGATCGTAGTCTTTCAGTACCCGAAACAAAGGCAACGAGGTATGTTCTCATCGCTTCTCTGATACTTAAGTCAGAAAGAGAATTATGTGCGTGAGGCTATAAGCAGAAAATAATGAGAACGTACCTGATCAATGACCTATGATCCTGTATTTATAATAGTAAGTGACCTTCTTCTAGTGGGACTCAACTAGTTGGGTATCCCTATCCAACAGAGTCCTATTAGGTGAAGGAATTGGACCAATGCCATAATTATGTCTGGGATAGAATCCTTGCGGGAGTCAAGTGTTAAGAAATATGGTTAAGTTAGAGTCCCAACTACATAGGAATTCTAAAGGGTCGATAATAACAATTGTAGGCTATGAGGAGAACATATACCCGAGGACTACTCATGCTCGAGGACATGGATCATAAAGTGTTGAAGAAGCAAAACAGGAAGTGCTCGAGCATTAGACTTGGGGGAGTATATGCTCGATCACTACAGGTGGGATTGCAAAGGAATCCTGAGGAAAGTCCTCGAGATAATGTGTCCGAGCATAGGAATGGTTGAGAAAGAATTAAATTTTTCGATTTATGTATAATATTATTTTATGGAAGATTGTGTGGTTGAAAATATGAGAGAAAAAAATTAAATTGAATGAAAATTAATGAGGGCTAAACGGGGAAATGAGTGGTTGAGAAAATTAATGGGTGGAATAATATTTTTTTTTAAATGAGTGGTTGAGAAAGAATTAAATTTTCGATTTATGTGTAATATTATTTAATGAAAGATTGTGTGATTGAAAATAGGAGAGAAAAAAATTAAATTGAATGAAAATTAATGAGGGCCAAACGGGGAAAAGTCTCGTCTGGTTGTTTCTCAGTGGCTGTCACAATCGACTTCTTCATTGCCATTGACGGTCAGTGGCGGATCTAAGTGGTGGCGAGCTAGGGCGGCCGCTCTAGCTGGATTCGCCGATCATCGGAGCCACAGGGGTGGAGCCAGTTGATTGTTCCAGTTTGTGGTTGCAGAGACGAAGGCTGAAGAGGGAAGAAGGAGAGTTCCATTTTTTTTCTTTGGGGCTTGGGTTGGTGATTGGACCATGGGGGAAAGAAGAAGAAGAGTTGCAGACACGAAGGCGGATTGGACCTTGATTGCAGACACAAAGGCTGAAGGGAGGAAGAAGAAGAAGAGTTCCATTTTTTTTTGTTTGGGCTTGGGCTGGTGATTGGACTATGGGCCTCTTTTTGTTTAAAAAAAATAGCCCATAGAGGAAATCAATGAATGGTTGGTCCATCATCCATGGTATTTCCCCCAATCCAAAGTCCAAATCCCCAACATTTGAAATCGGCAGCAAATTGAGCAAAGACATAAAGACCCAAAATGCAAACCCTTCCTTCCATTTCCATTCGAAGTAGAAGTAGCAGTCGCGACGCTTGCGAAGTGGGAAGTGCAACTATGCGAGTAGTGGACCATGTGCGAACTGGTGCAATGTCAAGGGCGAATCTCCGACGACCGAGGTCGAGCAAGCATCGTGGGTCTCAGGTAGTTAATTTTTTTTTCTTCACTTTCTTGTTTTTTATATTTATAGTTTGGCTTGAATTTTACTTATAATTATTATTAGATTAATTGAATTTATTTTTTTTATGACTGAGTTTTTCATATTATGAGTTTTATTGGCATGGATAATTGGATTTGTGCATTTCCTTTACCAGATTATGGGTTTTTGTTTATTAATTGATATGTGCTGATGGATTATGGATGGTTGGATTAAATCAATAATATTCTTATTTGGGATCCACTAAACTTCTATTTCTCTAAAACTAGTCTTGTAGTAGAAAATGATTGCAGTTTTTGTTGCTCATTAAAGGGTTTTAAGTGATTAATTGAGATTGCTTTTTTTGTCTTGATGTTGTTAGCTTTGTTCCTTAGGTTTATCTTGCTGGTAATTAAATTGCTCATGTAGCTGATCTTAAATTCTTTTAATTCGAATTGCTCTAAACTTGATTAAGTACTTTTGTTGCATTATGTCATGGTAGAAAATCAAACAAGTGTTTGATTGCTTTGTATCATATATTTATTTAGCATTTTAGGTCAAACTATATTTTCATATGTATGTAATTTTTACTTTTTAGTGCATTTACATACATATATATATTGAACCATTTTTAATACTATTTAATCAGATTTTAATAAATGATCGGGCTATTACGATCATTGATTGTCGATGGTTAATGGTCAAAGACAACTTCCGTCCTAGCTGAACATTGATGCTAGATTCGCCCCCGTTGACGATCCCCACATAAGGGAACACAACGAGTAAATATTTCATGGGAAAATTTCATAAGTGAGAAATTAAGTATGGTATATTTCAAAATTAAGAAAATAAGTTTTAAAATTCAAAAATCATATTTTTATTTAAATTTATTTATGATTTAATTATTTAATTAATTTAATATATTTAGATCACGAATCTATATAATTTGGTCACGAATTAACAATTTAATTACTAATTTATTATTTTTTTGTCACAAATCAAAAATTTTATGTCACAAATTATTTTACGATCACAATTCAAAAATTTTGAAGGTCACATTTTGTTCATCGATCACAAATCAAACAATTAATTAGTTACGGATTAATTTCTAGTCAGAACTTATTTTTCGATCACAAATAAAAATTTTTATAGGTCACATATTATTTTTCGATCACGAATAAAAAAATTTTATTAGTCACAAATTACTCACTAGTCACAAAATCAAAAATTTTATTGGTTACGATTTGGTCACAGTTATCTATTTAATTCATATTAATTTTTAGTCACAATTTATCAAATTGTTGGTCACAACTTATTTTTTGATCATAAATCAAAATTTTATAAGTCGCAGATTTTTTTCGATTACGAATGAAAAATTTTGTTGGTCACTGATCAAATTTTTTATTGGTCACAACTCATTTATTCTTTGCAAATTATTATATTAGTTGGTCGCGATTAATTTTTTGGTCACAACTTAATCAATTATAAGTCACAGTCACAATTTTTAGGTCACGGATTAACCAATTTAATGGTCACAGACTCACAGTCAACCAAATCATCTATGACCACCACCGACACTTGTGACCACTACATCACCACTGTCATTAGCCGCAGCCAAATCATCTGTGACTATCACCGACACTTGTGGCCACTACAGCCAGAATCACCATCGCCACACCAACAATGTCACAGTAGCACCATCGCCACTGTCATAGCCTCGACGTCACAGAACCACCACAACACACCACCGTCATACCCACAACATCACAGAACCACCTGCCACCCAAACACCACAACCATAACGCACACCTCCACCTCCACCTCCACCTCCACCTCCACCTCCACATTCACCACACCACTAAGCACTACACCTAGAGAGCTGTTGCACCGACGGGCGAAGCGTACGTCGCCACTGACTGAGAGCACTGCGACACTATCCAACACTGGTGCTCGAACCACAACCTACCAGATCCAACCACAACCACCACATCACCCAGATTGCCGCCACTAGAACCACCACCACAACCACACATCACCACCATCTCAATTGATCCAATCGACTGAGACTACCGCATCACCATCCAATCGACTGAGACCACCATATTACCATCACATCACCGCTTGAGCCACCACCATGCCTCACCACTACACCACCACATCACACACCAACGCACAAATATAGGTCACAGTTTGTCCAACAATACTGCACCTGCGCACCCACCATCACACCGTCAACACCACAGCACACAACATCGCACCATATAGAACCACCGATCACCGCACACAACGACAACATCGCACCACCCACCCACCACACAACCCCAATCAACTTTCCCAAACTTGAAACATCAATCGTACTCTCCATTCCTGGTTCAATTGTCCTGACATCTTCTACCACCAGATGTCCAGATTTGACAAAAAACACTCCATCGCCGTAGCCGTAGTCGCCACTGCGCTGCCACCAGCACCAACACCAAACAGCCACCAGCACCAACACCATTGTGTAACCAAAAATCAGAAGAGTTAGAGCAACGCCGGTAGAGAGTCATCACTATAGACGGCGACATTGCTTAATTTCCACCACCATTGATAGTCAACGGTTGAGAGGTGAGAATCGAAAGAAATGTAGAGAGAGAGAGAGACGAGAAGAAATGTAGAGAGAGAGAGTTTTGGAAATTAATTAGGTTTGTGTAATAGAGTATATATTTTTAATAAAAATTTTATTTTAAAAAATATTAATTAAAATAAAATCTCTAATTATTGAAATGTTGAACTCCTCATCTTATTTTAGAATTGTGATTTTTTAATGTATGAAATCGTGTAATTTCCACGTATTTCATTGGGTATCGCAAGATACTGTATCACAGCTAAGTGACCAGATCCGCTTAAGGATATTTACGTCATTTTGTCCTGTATGCCACAGAAAGAGAGGAGAGTGGGTGATTGAGTGAAAACATTCAATTGTAGCCCTTAGGAACTAGGAAGAGTAAGAAATTTCAGTGTAAACGGTGAAGTGGTCGCAAGTTGGTAATATACAAGGAATGAGTGAGAGCGGTGGAGCACCACCGGAGGCCGACGGTGTTGTGGTAGCATCCGACCAGGAAATAGCGGAGGCTCTGGGTTCTCTCCTCCGCGATTGCACAAATAACAACGCTTTCGCCTCCCTTAACGATGTCGTTCGACAGCTGGAGTCGAAGTTAGGTTTCGATTTAAACCACAAAATAGACTTCATTCGTAGCCAGATCCACAGTTTCCTCCTCCAACAATCCCAGGCCCCTAATTTCCTCGTCCACCAGAATCAGCATAAGGACCATTTTGCCCTTCAACACACCCCTAATTTCCACTCCTCTCCTTCCGCTCAACCAAATTTCGCGATCCATCGCCCGGAGAATTACTCGTACCGCACGCCTCCGTCTCAGCCTCCGCCTACGATGGCGAAGACGAGTAATGCGACCACTGCTAGCGTCGCTACCAGTGAAAATCCCAGAGAGAGGTGAGTCCTTAATTTTTCTATTTTTTGTAAACAAAATATTTTTCTGAAGAGATTGTTTGGTAAGGGAGAAAATTAGAATTTCCTTTGCGCATTGAGCATTATACATTCTTTTTCACGCCAATAACGGGCTTTCATGTTAATTGTGAATTTTTTATTTATTATTATTATTATTTTTTTTTGTTGTTATGATATACTTCAAAGGTTATTACTTTATTGACAAATGACATAAGAATTAACAATCTCTGGATTTGTTGTATACTAATGGCATAAGGTTTTATAACTTGATGGGAAATTTCAATTAAGCTTATATAAATGCTTTTTTTTTTTTTTTTTTTTGTTCTCTTTCCTGTGATTGGGTGATGAATGGAGTTTAAACAAATGTACTATATGGTTTTTAGATATCATACCTTTACCAAATTAACAAATAGGTAAAGTTTAGTTGTTTTCTGGGGAGAGAGGAGTGGGATGTTAGAAAAATGGACCGGGCAGTAACTTTTCAAGCTTCTGGTGTAATGAATTAATTTTGAACTTTGAAAAGAATAAAAAAGTCTTCAGTGTTTTTTATTAGCTGTAGAAAGACAAACACTGCGAGGACAGCATGACTTGAGTGTCTACGTCTTCTCCAAGTCATTGGAGGACAAAAGAACCATATTAAGCATACTTCAATGATCAAAAGAACCACACAAAGCGTTCTTCAATGATTTCATTGATTAGCTACTTCATAATCTTGTTTTGGTATGAAGCAGAAATGTGATGAATGAATTTGGCTAAGGTTTTTCATATTTTCGATGACTTATCAATTGAAAGATATTGGAGAGTTTTCCGGTGACTATTGAGTGTAACTTAATAAGTTGTGATTTTGCAGTTGTAGTGGTTTTTTTTTTTGGTTGGATATGTCGAAATGGAAACTTCACCAGGAATGTGCAGAGTTGTGGTATTGTTTCTAACTGTAAGTAGAACTGATTCTCAGATCGATTAATTTGCAAATGGCTTTTATTGTGCAAATTGACAAATTTTGATCATGGAACTTCAGTGCATATGAATATCTTGGAGTTCAATGCATATGAATGTCTTGAAGCAGTGGATGAAGAAAGAAGAAAATGATTGGTTGAACATGAAAATGAGGGACAGCTTTCATATCCAAGTTCTTTGATAGCTTGTATGTGTGATTATCCATTGAATGAACATTTTTTCATCAAACTCTCGGGATGTTGAAGGCTTATTTGCAGACTGCCTTGCCCTACATCCATTAAAGGGAAGGTTGTCTTGCACTAATCATTTCTTTTGTTGCATGTCATGTCACAATATTTATTTTATTAATTTAAGAAGACGTCTGATAACGGCTCTAGTGAGGGGGAATATAGGTGCCACACTTGTTCTTTTCTTTAACCCTCATATGTAATTTTCCGCAGTTATGCCATAGGTACAGAAAATGTTTGATAGAATTTTTACAGAACCTGTATGATTTCTGTGTGAATTATTCAATTTTCTATCATATCATTTATCTTGATCTATAGTGTAATTATTTCTTCCTTTTGGCTTGATATGTGCCCTTTATTGAGTGTCTTTTCAGTGCTCCAACTGGAAGAAAAAGAAGAGGAGGCCCTGGAGGACTAAACAAACTATGTGGTGTTTCTCCTGAACTACAAACCATTGTAGGGCAGCCAAATCTAGCAAGGACTGAGGTCTGGCTACCTGTATTCTTTTCTTCTTTATTTTTTCCCTATGATATGTACAAATTCCAACCCCCAAAAAGTGCTATTTCAGATCGTGAAGCAGTTGTGGGCTTACATAAGGAAAAACAACCTTCAAGATCCAAATAACAAAAGAAAGATTATTTGCAATGAGGAACTTCGATTGGTTTTCGAGACTGATTGTACTGACATGTTCAAGATGAATAAATTGCTAGCTAAACATATAATCCCTCTCGAGCCTACAAGTATAGATCTTAGTCTGAAAAGTAGTTATGTTTTCCATTATGATGGTGTTGATGCTTATTGTAGATATAAAATCTTGCAGAGCAGACCGTTCAAAATTTGAAGAAACCTAAGGTCGATGTTGAATCCAGGAGTCAAAATGATGACCCTGTTCCAATTGTGATAATATCTGAAGCACTTGCGAATTTCTTTGGTAGTGACGAACGGGAGATGTCACAAGCAGAGGCATTAAGGCAAATCTGGGAATACATAAAGGTCCACCAGCTCGAGGTCTGTAACCAAGTAAATGGTTTTTATTCATCATTCCACTTTATCATAGATTTCGTTTTTCATGGTAAGTTACTTGGTTATTAGTCACTCAATAAGGATTATAAGAGTGCTGCTCAATTTCACTTTTTATCAACTTCCACTTTTACTCCTTAAATTTTAAACACAGTCCGTCTCATTTTCACTAAATTTCTTCAGTCATAATGAATAGAATACAAGACTAGATGCTTCTTGACAAGTTTTGACAAATTTCTAGGTACCCAGACGACTTGCAAGAGCTTGAACTATGTTTTCTCTGTGTAGATGCTCTATTCAATTAAAGATTGCTGGTTACTATGTAAATTGTGTAAAGCATATTCATGCTTTTTGAGAGGTTAATTATGTATATGTCTGCTATTCCTGCATTGCATAGTTAAGGTGATCATATTGTGGTCACTTTCATGATTGTTATTTGGTTTTTCTTTCACTGTTCCGATTTTTGTATTTGTCTCGGCTCATTCTTTCATATCAAAGACATTTATATATTAAGCCCATTTTTGAGCCACATTCAAGGAAAAAATGCATTATTCATGTCAAATTAATGGAAAATGTGGTTAAAAAATAAGGAAAAATTTTAGATTTGCGTGTAATATTATTTTATTGAAGAATGTGTAGTTGAAATGATGTTAAATTACTGTTGAAGAATATATATTTTTTGAAAATAATGTGGCTCAAACAAGCCCTAAGTGCATTCCCTTTATCACTTAATACACTGAGGGAACATTATGATACTCTTTTCTCCAGGGTTTTTCTTATTTTGCTGATTTATTTTACTGAAATGGAGAAAAAAGGCAGTTGGAGCTGGTTTTTAAGATGAATGGAACTAAGTATGTAGTGAGAAACATTTAGTGATTGCTTTATCAGAAGCCAGAGGTAGCTGATCTTCTCAACTACAGGATAAATTTACGTATCACGCTGTTTTCTCAGCCAAAACAGATAGGATGATCTGATTCAACTTGCATGCTCTCGAAAATATTTGTGAAAAATTGGATTACATTGTCAATGATGGAAATGCATAGCAAGGAATATGTGTGGGCTAAAACAGTTGGAAGTGGGCATCAGAACATTATTTAATGTTGACAGGCTCTTTTTTTGAGTACTGACAGATAATCACCCGATGTATCACCTTCACTTACTGGAATCTTTTTTCTTCCTATATGATGTTGCTTTTGATTTTAAATGAAGATATTTTGTTGAAAAACTGCTTGCTTCCTCTTTTGATGTCAAATCACTTAAAAGAACTTGCAATTCTATGATTCAAAGTATTATGTTATGCTACTTTTAGGAACCTTTAAACTCGATGACCATTATATGTGATGCTAAATTGCAAGAGCTTCTTGGATGTGAAAGCATTTCAGCACTGGGGATGCCTGAGATGTTGGCGCGTCGTCATTTGTTCAAGAAATCATGACAGCCGATCACATTGACTGGTTAGTACAAGTTAGGAATATCGTTCTATTTTTCTGTTTGTTACTTTGATCATATTGCTTTGAGCTTATCTGCCGAAGGGTTATGTTATTGTAATATCTGATAAAATATTTTGTTAATTAAAATTGGAGAACTTGTATCAACTCTCCATGCTTTCTTGATATGACCTGTCTCATCTTCTAAATTTCCTTATCCTTGGGTTTTTCTTGTCTGTTGTTTCCTCTATTTCACCTCTCTTTCAACTTATAGTGGTTTCTCCTCTCTTTAACTTTTTGATTATAAAGAACTTTTATGTGAAGATGTCACTAAGAAAGAAGGTTGCCTTTGTCTTCACTTTCCGATATCTTTTACATGCCCTGCATGCAGCGTGTCCTATTTATAAACAAGCAAGCCACTTTTTATCCACTACTACTCAGTTATCCATCACTTGTATCAATCTATTTACAATTCAAATCATTTATAAAACACGTCCCAAAACATGCTTTAAGTAGGTTTTTGGGGGTTTGGAGAGTCATTTTATTGAATTATCTGCAGTTTCCCCCTGTGATGAGCAATTTCTTTGTTACAATCTTGAAATATGTCCTGTGAACATTTCCATTTAAAGGAAAGTGATATCTTTTCTTGGATATTTTGGAAAAATATTAGGACTTGATATTTAGTTGGTGCAAGAATTTTCTTGCAAACAAATGATCGATCAGTGAACACTAATGGGCTATTTTATGCTTTGCAGATACACGCTGTTAATGCTAACCTATTGTGTTCTGACATAATCTCAAATACTTCCGAGATGGCTCCCCTATTTTAGGTGTTTTCGTTTTATGAATAGTGGTAGAGGTTACGAGTAGGTGAGTTAAGGATATAATGTAATCTTGGCTACTTATAAGTTTTGTGTGTGGCCGGCTATAGGTCTAGAGTGTTCTCTTTCCCTCGTTAGTCGTTTCCCTTCCGTGCTGAACATTTCTTTGTCGGAGTTTCCAACACTTGGTAAATATGCCTGACAGTAGAAGCAGATGTATAGATGATTTAAGCTCTTCTCCTAGTTATGTAAAATAATATATCTGCAGATCACGTCTGCAAATGTGCTCTTTCTACCCTGAGTACTTCTGATGTATAAAAATTTATCGAATTTGGTTTTCGGCTTCATATAGTTGGACTACTGGTTCTGCAAAACTGTCTTTGTTGCTTCCTTCCCACTCGTGTTGAGCTAATTGACATGCTATGGAATTGTCACGTGATTATAGGTCCCTTGTTTTCTGTTTGTATTGATGATGCATCTCTCTCATGATGTGACGAGGAGAATATGGAGAGTTGGTGGCTTGCACCGTGGTGCCATAGGATAGTGATGTTAACCAAACATCGATTTTTTAAAGAAACTCAAACCCTCAATTTATTCGACTGACCGCTTCAAAAGAACCATTGTTTGAGTCAGCAATCATTTTTACGGGTCAATGATTTGTTTTGGAATTTTTTTCAATTCCATCTAAGCCGCAGTTGAGCATTGATTTAGGTGGAAGGGAGAAATTCATTGATTCGTGCAAATTGTTGGGTATTCACAATTAAGACTTGTTACTTAGCTCACAAATACTGAAGAACACCGATATTGAGCCATCAAGTATTGGAAAGTATCCAACTTTTGTAGTTTAAATTAATAATCCATCACTTATAATGGTTATACAATTGTAAGAAGTCCAGGGGCATAGTCCAGTGGTGCAAAAGACATGAGCGAGGTTACATCAATCATTGCTGGCAATTGTAGTAGGGGGTTCGATTCTTGAAACATGGAATTGAATTATTTGTAGGCATGATGTGTAGGTAGTTCTTGTTCTCAGGTCAGTTGTGACGCATTCCGTGATTTACCTCTCTTACAAAACTTTAGGGACAGGGCAATGGGGTCTTCAAAGCTGGGATTCAACCTTTTTTAATACAATTGTAAGAAGATCAAAAACCTGTGAGTTTTAAAGACAAGTCAATCACAAATTTCCAAACAATGTGAAAGAAAACTACTAAAATTTACTAGAGATGAATTATGTAATTTGTTGTGTTGACTGTTGAGGTCTCATAACTTGTGATCAAGCCTGTCAGAAAATTTGACAACTTTGTCCTGTTCTCTCTCATTCCATTCTCTATGGGCCCTCAGTTCCTCTTGTTTGGTCGGTCCCCATGTTCCACGGAGAATAGGGTAATTGGATGGATCAAAGAAGAATACGAACTTCTTTATACTCAAAATTGTCTCCATTAAATTAATTTTAATTTTTTTCTATCCTATTTGAAAATTTATTCCTCTTTTCTAACCATTCATTCTTCTAAAAAATACTATTCTATTCATTAAAATTTGAAATAATGGGGATCAAACGGGAGCAAATTATTATAATTGTTGCATCAAGGGGCATCTAGAAGGTTGACCATACAATAAATCTTCTATAGAGATATTAAAATAAAAATAAAACCACCCGACAACAAATATAAAATATTATTCTTAATTATGGATAATAAAATAATTTATCATTAAATCTGAGGGAAAAAAAACCCCTTTGTTCCTTCTTCAGAACAATTCAACGGGACCCACCCACGCGGGCATTAGTGCTCTTCCTCTAATCATCAAAATGTCCCATCATTCCTTTGCTTGTCCTATGAATTTAAATAAATAATAATAATTCAATTATAAAAATAAAGAGAACAAGGGAAAATAATATTAAAAAGTCAATAAATTTGTGTGTATTTTTTTGAGAGTCAAAGTCATGTATTTATATTATAGGAAAGAATCAATGTTGCAAGAAATACAATAGTAATAATAATTACAATGTCATAGGTATAAAGATTATTCACTAATAAAAATATAATTACAATAAATTATATATATAGGTCAATTGTTCATTACGTCGTAAATAAATACAAAACTAAAAAAGAAAAAAAACATCGATTTGACATTGTAAAGTTATTCCATTTTTGTTACGACTTTCACATTGTAGAGTCATTCAAATTTTGTAACAAATATAATATTTGAAAATTTAATAATGAATCTAGTAACCATAATTTTAACCTCTATTTGTTATTATTTAAAAAATTAAATGTTCGCTACAGATCATTTTTCACCAAATATTCATACAATAGAATAATCCACATATAAACTAATAAAGTCTTCTTAATTTTTAATCACATATTCTCCAAAAAATGTTATTCAATAATTTATTATTTCCTAATAAATTCTATAAAACGGGATCTTATTTGGCCAATGTATTAGACAATTTTCTAGCTTAAGAATCAGTCAAAGGTAAATAAATTACTATTATTTTGTTTTGATTGGTCAAATCTTTACCTTTTTTTTTTTTAGTTAGATGCAAGCTTGCTTAAGGCTGCATTTGGCATATTGAAAGGTGGATTAAGATTATATTTTCTATTAAAAGTAGAATTAGACAACATAAAGAAAAATCTAAACGCGTAAATCACTCCATATATTTATAAAAGAGTAATATATATATTTTTTTAAATTGTAATAATAAATGCTTGAGCAATCCATTTATATCGATTTTGCAGTTTATACATTGACTCCGTCGACAGCCGTCCATTCTCACCAATTTCACATCTATCTACAAACATCCAAAATTAGATTCCCGGGTCGGACTCACGTATAATGGGGCCGGTAAGTGACCCGTTTTCACATTTCTGCGAATCCGCGTCATGTAATGCACCAACTATTGTAGTTTGCTTGCTTGCCTGGCTGGCAGTGTACGCTGATCCGTGTCGCGGTTGTTTGCCAGCCTGTCTCCAGTTATAATTCGGCTTAGTCGTTTCACCTCCGGCTTGGACTTACCAGCTTAAGCCGCTGCTACTTATTCATATTTCATTTTATTTTCTATTTTTCGGGGTGAATTCTCAGAGTTTTGGGATTTTGCTACTTTTTTTTTTTTTTTGACATTTATTGCAAAATTTGGCAATTTGGTGAGTTTTATTATGATTGTGTTGAGTTATGACCATTTTCTTGAACATAAATTTCTGCCTATTTTTATTACTCTTACGACATTTCACATAAATAAAAAATATTATATGATATGTCAACAATTTTTTAACAGACAACTGATATCATTAGTAAAGTTGTTTATTACACCTTTATAGAGTCATGCATATATTGTAGTGGATTCTACCATTTTACTATGAGAATATATTCCCTAATCCTTTAACACTTTTCAACATCATCAATTATGTCAATTTTTTTTTTTAACTATTTTCAATACTTATTTCAATTTCCTTCCGCTATAGAACACTTTATTCCTCTAAGTAATAAATTATATAATTGATATCTCCAATATCTTAAATAATTCAAACATAGAAGTAATGAAGACATTGATAATTTAATCTGTAAAATGTTTTATTAGATCTTTTTTTACGTAGATTTTTCGAGAATAAGTTGTTACATATATATATAGTCAAAATGTTAAAAAAAAATTGTAAATCAAAATATATTATTAATTTATTAAAATAACGTGTGAATTGAAAATGAATTTGTGAAAATTTTAAATTAAAATAATATATATCATGTTGACTTTAAAATATACATTAACACATCAACTTATGACTCGGCGCACCGACGGAGCCTCTTCAGTCTTCAGACAAACCTATCGAAACGCGTCAGAAACTACTGGCTTCAATTATTACATAATTTATTTATTAATCAAATTAAAAATTTCTAATTTCGTATCGCACAACAAAAAACAGAAATAAAAAACGCCATAAAACTCTCTCTCAGACAAACGCCTTACACACCACGCTGCCAACTTCAATTAACCCCAAAAAATTTCTCTCTCAACCTTTCTCTCTCCATTCCTTGTACTGTAATAATTAATCTGCTTCACATTTTTTCGATAATAATCTGAAGAAGCTGAAATTGTTCAATCAGAAGTATAATTTGTGCTCGGAGTAAATTTTCAGGCGAAAGTTTTGCCGGCGGTAATGTATAAGCAGCAGTTTCTAGTTTGCCTGTTTTCAGTTGTTCTACTTAGCTCCTTGGCGGCTTTAGTTGCTGCTCAAGGATCTAGGAACAACACAAGTAGATGGCAAACACTTAAGGGTACGAGATCTCTGTCTCTTTCCGCATATGTGCGTGTCTGTGTGTACCCATGTACGTTTTTGTGTTTTCTGCATCCTTTTCAGTGATTTTTCTCGGATATGGAAAAGGAAATATTGAATTAGGATTCGTGGGCTTTTGTGTTGTTTTTGGTGTAAAAAAATGCGAGGGCTAGTGTAAGTAGAATGCTAAAGATTTGGATGATTTATTTTTGTTTACAGCGATTTGACTGATTTCTCCCAAAAGTTTACAAGCATACCAAGTCTTGCTTAAAATTTTATTTTTGTGTCCTCTTGTTTTCTAAAAATTTGTTATTGTTGCCGCCCTATTGCAAAATCCACGATTCCCATTGTAAGGTGTTCGTGTAGACGGTGGGGTATTGTTTTGTGAAGAAGGGTTAGGAAGTCATTTAAACACTAAGATTTGGGTGCTTTATGAAAATATTGATTTTTTTAAGCAAGATATATTTTAACTTCAACCTGAGTTTGTAATGGTCTTACTATGTTTCGTTAGTAATAAGCCAATGGAAAATGCACAAACTTTCAGTAATCCCTACGTAACTGTGAAAGTAAAATTTAGCAAGGTCGAAGTTGGCGATCCCGTCTGACCGAAGAATCCATTGAAGACTTGAATAACTTTCATGTTACTATATTCAATTTTATAGCAGTGCCTTATTTTAATTATTGTTCCGAAATAAAGGATCAAAAGCTAGATATAAAATCTATCTGCTAGAGTCTAGTTTGTAGTCAATTTGTCACATTTAATTCTGTGCAGCTGCAATATCTGAACCTTGACATTCGTCTGTATATGTTGATGAAACTATAGAGATTTATTTCTTATTTATCCACAGTTTTTTTTTTTCCTTATCATAGCTAAATAACTGAATCATATAATTCTGTGTCCCTTCAAGTCTTTAATCACAGTGACTATCTCAGCTTCCTTATTATAAAGAACTTATCTTTTTGTTGCTTTTTCAGGAGACCCACCTTTAGTCATAGCTAGAGGTGGATTTTCGGGCATGTTTCCTGATTCTGGTCAATATGCTTATCAACTAGCAGTTAGTATTGGCTTACCCAATGTAGTTGTATGGTGTGACGTTCAACTTACGAAAGATGGATCTGGAATCTGCTTTCCAGATCTTAGGCTTGAAAATGGCTCTAACATCGATGATATTTTCAAGAACGGGAGCAACGCCTACCCTGTGAACGGGGTTCCTATGCGAGGATGGTTTTCTGTTGATTTTACCTTCAACGACCTTGAACCTGTCAATTGTAAGTTCAGGGGGTGTTTGATAGACATTTTTATGTAAAAATGCATTTTAGAATAGTAAATTGATGTGAAATGTGTGGTTGAGAAATAATGAAAAGTTTTTTATTTACGTGTAATATTATTTTAATGAAGAATGTGTGGTTGAAAAGATGAGAGAGAAAAATGCATTTTCGAAAAAATGGCTATCAAACGGGGCCTCAGTTTATGGGTCCCATCGTAGTATACATTATTTCATCGTTACATCTTAATGCTTGCAAATTTATATGCATCTTTGAATCTTTCAAGGGACATGCTTAGAGTAACGAGTGATTTGCGAAAATAATAGTAATTGGATGTTTTCTTCAAACAGTTTCATAAGCCAATTGAATCTGCCATCGCTTTTTTATAGCTGCCAGTATATTTTTGCTTCTCATGAAATAAAACAAAATTGTCTACTTCGGCAAGCGTTTGGGTTGGTGAAATTGTTCCATCAATTTAATAATATAGAATTTTGCTTTTCATTCGTTGAAAAACCATTGTTTTGAAGATTTTCGTAGGGTAGCTCTGCTTAGTAAATAATTTTTTATAATTGTGATGAAGTTACTCGATATTATATTAATGCTTGCATTCTGACTATCTTTAATACTGGGGACAGTGAAACAGAGAATCTATTCTCGGGCCCCTAATTTTGATGGCACTCCACAGCAGATTCTTGGTGTTGAAGATGTTGTTGGCTTAGTAAAACCGCCGAGTTTGTGGTTGAATGTTCAGGTACTCATATCAAATCATTTTTTATCATATTTAAAATTTTGTACCAGATATTATGATGACTAAATAATGATCCATATTTTTGTCATATCCTTTGCAGCATGATGCCTTCTTCAGCCAACATAATCTGAGTATGAGAACCTTCATTATTTCTCTGTCTAGACGCGTTATCGTTAATTATATTTCATCACCAGAGGTGAACTTCTTGAGAAGTATCATTGCACGATTCAGAACAAGTCGAACAAAACTCATATTTCAGTTTCTGGCACCTGATGAGGTGGAGCCTTTAACCAACCAAACATATGACTCACTTTTGAGGAATCTAACATTTATCAAAACATTTGCCTCAGGAATTCTTGTTCCTAAATATTACATCTGGCCTGTAGACAACAGTCTATATTTACAGCCTCATACTTCTGTTGTTTCTGATGCTCATAAAGCTGGTCTAGAAGTGTTTGCATCAGATTTTTTAAATGATGATGCACATTTACCCTATAACTACAGTTATGACCCTGTTGCTGAGTATCTCAGTTACATTGACAACAGAGACTTTTCTGTTGATGGTGTACTCTCCGACTTCCCAATAACTCCATCTGAAGCCATAGGTAAGCTGCAAGCTATTTGACTAAATTTCATCATTTGTTCCGTTAGTTAAGTTGTCCTATCTAAACTGAATGGAGGAATCATCAATATCTGTAAATTTAGGTTTTGTTTGGCAATTTAGAATGTATTATTTTCACTAGCTAATATTTATAAAACCACGGTGTTTTGACTCTGGATGATATCTTCCAACATCTAATTTATTCTTTGTTGCAGATTGCTTCTCGCACATGGGCAGAAATGGAAAGGAACAAGGTAAGCACTAACATCTGGACTTCCCTGCTTTGAAGTTTGGATATTATTTTCCTTAGTTTCACTTGCTCCGGATATTTTTTCAATCCACTATATTTGTAACGTTTTGAGGTTAACAGATTATTCTGCTCTCTGTTTGGTTCAGTAAACCTTTCGGTTATCTCCTTGGAAGGAGCAAGCGGCGACTATCCTGGCTGTACTGACAAGGCATATAGTAAAGCTATATCAGATGGCGTAGATGTTCTTGATTGTCCTGTTCAAATGACAAACGATGGGATAGCTTTTTGCTTGGGATCTATCAATCTCAGAGAGAGAACTAATGTTGATGAAACAGACTTCAGCAACCTGGCCACAAGTAATCCAGATCTTAGCATTGACGGTGGAATATACACCTATAATCTCACGTGGAGCCAAATTCATAGCACCTTGAGGCGTAAGTGAAACTTATCATCTATACTATGGCTTTCCTAACTTGATATTCACATTATTTTTAGCAAAAATGTATACATGGACTTGCCAATGGAGGGATTGACTTCAAAAGTTGAAAAATGAATAAGCTTATTGCCATGTCCAGCTCAGATTGGGTTTAGGTTGACTGGGGCTTAATTTTGAAAATCATGATCTTTCCGGGGCCTCCTACATACATGGATATCAGGTCTCTGTGACAGAGCTCTTCTGTATTTTATAGTATTTTAAAGATATTGAGGTTTACCGTATGTTGGAAATTCCGGTTAGGGGCATGCCTTTCAACTTTCATCAAGACTATTACCCTCCTTAACTATGCAGTTTCTCCTCTTACTTATTTTCAGATTTGTTATCTTGCTATTTAATTGATGTCTTCTCGGGTGCAGTTTTCATTCCAGAGATGTTAGCTGTATTTGAAAATAGTTATTAAAACTGTAATAATATATTTTTGTTTTCACTGCAGCTGCTATATACAATCCATACGCAAACTTTTCGTTATATCGAAATCCAAAAGCCAGAAATGATGGGAACTTTATGCAGTTGTCTGATTTTTTGGCTTTTGCAAGAAATGCATCTTCTGTCTCTGGTGTCTTAATCAGCATAGAGGTGAGTTTGCTCAATGCAAGTAGTCTGGATTCTTATTTTTAAGAACAGAATCTTGTAAATAATGCATGTGCTTGCCCATTCAACATTTACTTGTGCAGAAGCACCCCGTCCATATTATTTGATCACTAGGTTTGAAAATTCATGACTAACTGCAGTTTGGAAATAAGATGTAGGGAACATGATCTTTTAAACTATCAACTTAATTTCCAATAAAAGAAGTTTTTAGACTAATTCTAAAGCATGATGTACTTCGAAAAATTGAGACAATCTCAATTCAGATGAATGGATCGTTAGAGAGAAGTTTATCTGTGAGAAAATAAGAAAGCGTAATTTTATACAGCTTTTAATTAATTCTCCAATCAGAAATTTACTACCATTTGGTTCAATGAATTTTCTGCCCACTATTATCTATGTAAAAAATTGATGATAGAAGAAATAACAAAGGCTATCATAATATCAGTCTCAGCTCTGTTGATCTCATTGAGAGGAGTATCAATCACAAACGTAGTATAAATTGCATCTAATCGGGTATGTCCTCACTCCTCCCAATAGCCAGTTGCTTTAGTATCTCATTATTAGGTTCTACATAACTTGTTCACCATTTCTCAAAATGGTTCATCAAGCGATACTAAGTAAATAAATTATAGAATAAATATTATGCTGACATAACTTGTTTACTGTTTCTTGTGATGGTTCATTGCGGAATACTTTGTCTAGAATGCACTGACACCCTCCCGGGGCCAGTGAGGCACCGACATGCAGCTGAAATGCCAAGAGGCGTGTCCAAATTTTTTATTCGATTTTGTGCAGTTAGACATGTCGTCGACATATTGCCTGACCGACACTGTGTCCCTGTTGGTGTTTCCTAGCTGTGTGTATTTTTGCTGAGCTTAAAAAGTTTTAATTAAACTAAATAATTAAGTTTTAGAATAAATAATACACTTGACATGTTCACTGACTCATGTAATTAGGCAATATGTCAAGTAAGTTTAGCATGCTCCCCAAGTCTTGTGTGAGATCACGCTCCTTGGCTAAGAATTGCCAAGACGATGAGTCTATTCAAATCAAAACTTAATTCCATGTGTCTTGCTTGCATATTAAATACCAGTGTCTGTTCTAGCTATGATTTACAGTCTTCAAACCATGATCGGACATATTATTAGTTCTTGAAATGTTTTACTTGATCTGTTGGAGGGTTTAAATCACTGCACCTCATTCTGGGTCCTATTTTACAGCATGCTGGTTACCTAGCCGAAAAACAGGGACTAGGTGTAACTGATGCAGTTTTGGATGCTTTGAGCAAAACTGGTTACAATAATCAGACAGCTAAAAAAATTATGGTAAAATCTAGTGATAGTGCTGTTTTGAGAAAGTTCAAGAGTAGAAGCAATTATGAGTTTGTTTACTTGGTCAATGAGGATATCCGTGACATCACAAACTCAACAATTTCGGAGATCAAAAAATTCGCCAGTTCTGTAGTCATCACAAAAAGATCTGTATTTCCTGTGGATAAGGCATTTCTTACTTCGCAAACGGATGTGGTCCCAAAGCTTCAGGCCTTTGGACTCCATGTTTATGTGCAATTATTCAGAAATGAGTTCGTGTCTCAACCCTGGGATTTCTTCTCCGACCCTTACGTGGAGATCAACACACATGTTTCTGTTATGGAAATTAATGGTGTCATTACAGACTTCCCTGCAACAGCAGTTAAGTATAAAAGTAAGTTTATTGCTGTACTTTTTATTTATTTCCTTTTTCATTTATGCAGTGTGTTCTCTTAGGAGTCTGGAAATGATAGTCTAAGCAAGCCATATCTATCCAGTTTTATAGTACCACCGCAATTCTTTAGGCCTTTTGATCTTGAATGTAGTTGATTTCACCTTAACTTCACCTCTGTGTGCTCTCTTAGGCCTGAGCTTAGCATGCACCCATTCACATTTCTGGTCAACTTATAGCCAACATCATTACACGAGAACAGGGACAGAGATTTTGTTTTCTTGTTTCTTAGCCAAAAGTTATTCCTTGCACGTTAGAGTTGAAGTGAATTTTGAATAGGCGTGTCTTTAAACCTTAATTTGACTGGTGATCTATACATATTATTATTGTTGTTGTTATAAAATTATGAATTATGAATCATGCAAATTAATTAATACATTTCATACACTAAAGGCACAAAAGTCAATTATCACCTTCCATTCTGGCTGTACCGATAATATAATTTCATTAAGCTCCATCCGTAAAGTAATTGATACTTTAATTGTAAAATACACCTTTTAGTAGTGTAAGATAATTTTTGTTTTCGTTTTTTTAGGTCGCAACGTGATTGTTGCAACATGTCTTATGCCAACGAATTCTTTTTATATTTAATTTTCGTTTTTACCTATTATTGGATTGGCTCCTCCTAATTGGATGTCATTAACACATCCTCTCTTCACACTTCTAGTGATTATAGCATTTGTCGTTTTGTACTATTCCCAGGGAACCGATGTTTAGGGTATAAAGAAGTACCGCTATACATGAGCCCTGTGCTACCCGGCAGCCTTATTTCACTTATGGCACCTCAATTTTTGCCACCGGCCGAGGCTCCAAACCCGATCCTTTCGGAGAACGATGTGGTTGAACCACCTCTCCCTGCCGTTGTGGAAAAGCCCCCAACCACGGATACTGGCAACAGCTCTACAGCACCAGGTCCCGCACCACGAAATGGACAGCCTACAATTGTTGCAAGCATGATCCTAAGTTGCATTGCTGTCCTTGCGACCCTATTGCTTTGCTGAGACAACCTCGACTACCTTGTTTTTTTCCTCGTTTGCTTATCTGTAATTGACCTCATTGGACATTCTGGAATCAAACATCGGACACTTCGGCCATGATTTTCCGCAGAGGAGATTGGCAGTAAGCTTACGAGATCATTTATGCGATTTATTCTTTACGTTGAATAACATCTCTTGTTCATTTTGTAAATTTTTGTTGGTGCAGTCATCTTGTGTACGAGAACACCATTCTTACATTTCAACGTTTCCAATGTTAATGGGTGAATTCTATAAAATGAATGGTGACGAGATTTGAACTCAAATCTTTTGTTGATACCGTGTTAACTAGGCTTGAATGGTTATATGTATTCATTTAAATTGTTAATTGTATTTATTTAAATTGCGTCTTCAACAATGCTACATGAAATGAAAATCCTTGTTATTTCACACCAAGTATTGAAAATGTTACGCAAGATGATTTAGCTTTCCTCTTTATTAAATAGTATTGAATAATATTGGGCATAGAATATATAAATATTTTTTAGTTTACTGTTTAGCGGTAATTCAAGTTGAGATGAAAAATGTTATTAATTCAAGTCTCGCAACGAAAATATTATGTGTTAGCACAATATATAAAAAATAATAATTAACTCATAAAATTTCAACAGTTGATTCACAGAAAAGAAATTGAAATGGGTTCTCTTTATTTGGTTCAATTTTCCGCTAAATATGACATTAATTTTAACAATTACGATGCCATATGCTCCGACAATCGTTTTCAAATATTTACAAAATATCGAGTTATACACTAGTGATTTGAATAATGCTCTCCTTGTAACATGTTGTACATGGAGTTTCACATCAATTGGAAATTCAAAAATGAACGGACGGGAAAGTGTGTTATTTTAAAATTGGCCACTCATGCTGCGACACATGGCACAATATCAAACTTGATGTCAAATAAAGTGTACATGTAGCATGATTGCAGTTATTTATAAAATTGGGTGCCTAAATTAGTGGTAATTAATGCGAAAACAGATGTTTGGTGGAGAAGGGATGAATTATGAAATTCGAAATAATATGGTTGAAAAGCATGTAAAGAGTAGAAAAAATCACATAATTTTGTACAGAAAATTGAAGCATGGGCAAGATCCATGAACTTTACCCACGAAAAGATGCCAATCATGGTGCTATCTTAATGGGACTTTTATCTCCTTTACATCTCCAAATGCGGTTCTACATGTGACTTGAGGAATCTCAAGTTATGCTCATAAGGACTACTTATCCGTGAATTAATCTTTAGCCCATGTTTGGTTGAGATTAATATCAGATTTTGATAGTTTGACAATGAGAATTTGAATTAAAAAAAATGTTGTCTAAAATTCAGAATTCTTCGAATTACTAATTGTACCCTTTTGTCTCTTAATTGCCACTTCAACATAATTCAATGGCAAAGTCCACAGTTGCAGAGTTTCTCACTGGAATCTATAGTTGGGTATGCTCAATTCTCATTTTCTTGCTCGACCATTCATTTAATGAGCTATTTTGAATGCACGTGAAAATAAGTTACTTAAGGTGCTTACAAGCAATCCCATGTACTCTCTTGTTATTTCAACTCTACAGTTTCATCACTATGTATGATCTTGTATAGTACTGCCTAACAAACATGTGCTCAGTCTTTAAAATTCAAGAAATAAAAATGTTACATTTATCAAAAATAATTGAAGTTGACTTTAAGTGTAGTAGGACTCCCAACGCGATCTCTGCTACACCTCTTTCTTTTCGCCCTAGAATCAACCAAAAAATGGAACTTCTCCAAAAGAGACACAAAGTAATGAGAAAATGCAATCTCTGCTACACCTATTTCTTTTCGCCCTATAATCAACCAAAAAATGGAACTTCTCCCTTAAATGAGAGGCACAAAGTAATGAGAAAATGAGTTTTAACGACCCATTCAAATCTAACCAAAGCTACATTTGCTCTTAGACTTATTAGGAACGAAGAAAGTTCCTTTTTGTGCTGGCCAATGTTGATGTTCAGCTTCTAGGAGATGTTTTGCTCGATCACTCAACTTCTAGCGTGATGATACGTTATGTAAGCTCCAAGGATGACAGGAGGGTTCTAATGAATCTTCTGAGGGTAAATACCTTCTGTTTTTCTATTGAACTTTCATGTTGATTGCCGTCTTGTTTTGTACTTATTTTGAAAGTATTGGTGTTAAGTTTGTGCAATTCCACAATGCTATTTTGCAATATTTTTAAACTTGTCTCGAGCATTGAACTGGAAAAGTAAAAGTTCAAAGTTCAACAGGATATCAACAATAACAGCATATGACGTCAATGTTTCAGAAATGGTGAAATTTAACTCTAAAGATAATGTAGTACATTACCAAGTTATCGATCCAGTTCTTGATTTTTCCACTATAGTAATTTGTGATGGATGTCTTGTAAGGGGTGCCTATTTAGTGTACGTCTGGGAACAATTTTAAGCAACTTTTAATTACAAATTTGACCGTTAGCCATTTTTTTTATTTCAAAGCCTATAGATTTTCCTGACAGTAGCAGACCACATAATGCTCTACTTTTCCAAAATTGACCTTTAATTATATACAACCAACAACCCACCTACCAAAATCAATTTGAGGGCAAATATGAGAATATATTTGAGTAATAAATGCACCATACTCAAGGATTTCAGGATGATTTGACAGGAAAATCACTTGTTGATTTTTGACAATTGCTCCCAAACACACGCTAAACTTATTCAACATTTTTATTAGCCATATCGGGAATGGTATGGGCATCGATATGGGCAGCATAAATTTTGGGTCCGTTCTTGTCCATTATATTGGAGGATTTATTAGCAGCTTTTCAATTTTATTAATTGTGTTTGATTAGGAATAATAAGAAACCTAATTTAGAATTGGCCATTATAATGTTTAGTACAATCTAATACTGAATTCTGTTGAGGAAAAAAGCACGTTACAAACATTTTGTACATATCTTGCCACAAAGCTACTTGCGAAAAACTCTTGTTAAATGATCTGTCTGTTTCTCTGCATGCACGTTATAAAATTGGATAAGGAACTTAGCAATCGATCTCAATTATTTCTCCTGATCCGACTTATTATATTCCTATATTATAAATAATTGAAGATCAATATTTTCTTGTTCACTAAAATGAACTAGGAATAGTTGAGATCTTAATTCTGTTTCCATCAATGCTATCACTGAACGAGAACGAGAACGAGAACAGAAATGAACATAATCCTCCTCGAAAAAATTCACTAGTGTAACAATTAATAGTTCAACCCAACACTAGAAAAGCTCAAACTTACTCATCCCATAGCAGGGAGAACAACAATGACAAAAATAGGGCGAGATTTTGGGAGGGAGAACGTTCACACGAGCAACACAAAAGTTCAAGCGGCACCAGCACCCTTCCCTTTCTTCCTCTGGAGTTTCTTCATGTAAAACTCCAACTCCTTGCCCTCCAAAATATACCTAAAAACAAGATAAGAAGCATATCATAATATCTAACTTCTTAAGATCAGAAGCATACATTATATATAATTCTAACGCTCTAACAAAACTGGATACATTATGATGTTCCCCAGTGATCCCCAATAAAAAAGGTTCTGAGAACTACTACTAAATCTAATTCGAACAAAAGCCTGAATAACTGTAAAATAGAAATGATACTACAGGGTTCATGCCTAGAAAGAGACAGAAAATATTCAGAGGATAAAACATACCCATCGGCACGGCCACACTGGCCAGGACGGGAGGAGATTGCAGCTAACAAACGGCCACTGCCAAATTGCTCCTCCACGTGTGGGTCAAGTTTGCGATCCTGTTGACGTTTTTCAATTTTTCTCTTAACGTGGTTGCTCTTCTTTGCCTCTTCAGTAGCAGCAGTCTCAATCTCCTGAAAACCATTCAATCATTAAAAATCAAAATAATGGATAATAAGTATTGCTCTATTTTACCTGAATTTTTATCCCTTTTGGACACAGGATCCAAACAAAGTTCATAACCATCTCATTTCCTCCCAATATTAGGCAATAAAATCTCATCTCTCAGAGAAATGATACTTTTTTTGTAACCAAACAACACATATACAAGAAAAGTGTGCAATGCTGTATATTACCCACTGTTCTTTGATACTTGTCTAATTTACACACCTCTTTTGCAACTAGTTCCCTGCATCTTAAGAACAAGTATTGAACATTCACTAACATATATTGCTGCAAGCTAGATTCATTGATAGCATCCATTCTGTTACACAGTTCAGTTGCTAATAGGTATCTTAGTACATTAGTCATTTAAGCATAGGGTACAAAGCAATCATAGAGCTATAAAAGAATCACGTATGGCTTACTAACCAAGCATAAAATTATTATCACATAAAAGAGAAAACTATAAAGGTTAAAGCTGGAATAATCTAAGATAGTTCCTACCTCTCCTTCCTTCTTGGCAGCAGCCTTCTTCTTCCTACCAATATCAACTCCATAGTGCTGCAAATACCACTGCTTGAATGGTGCAGCATCCACTTGCACAATAGCGCTCTTTACCAAAGTTTGGGTCCTTACCAGCTCATTATTCGACGCGTTGTAAACCACATCCAGAATACGAGTCTTCCGGGTCACAGCTTCACGTCCCCAAGAGTAGTTCCCTGTATCCAGCCTCAGGGCACGCCACTTCACATTACCTCCTCTGACCCTCACCCTACGGACTGTCTTGTTACTTGACAACTTTGTGTTTGCTGGTTGCCTTCCAAGCTCATACCTTGGAAGAGTCAAATTCAGTTAATAATCAAAAGATATCTTAGAAATCTAACCATACAGTAATAGGGAGCGTTAAAGTAGATCTAAATTGTAATGTCCTAGTCAAACTATTTAATAATCTGACTCTTAATAATATATATTTATCAAACGAGAATAGTTAATGTTTGCATGTATGGATTCATAGCTAGTAATTAAAATGTAAAAAAAATAAACTAATACACAAATTTTATTTTAGAGTTGAGTTCAACCATCTAGACAAGAATCTGATATAACATATGGCACCAATTCAGAAAAGCTGTAGAATACTGACAAAAGACATCATCTTGAAGATGTATACATTTCACACTAATTCATTTCGTAACTTCGTAGTCACCTATCAATCACATAAAGGAACAGAAAACGTCATAAATTTATACGAAACAGCATCAAATCCTAAAGAACATCAATTTACACAAACTCGAAAATGAAATTAAATAGACATTAAAAAGGCACCTCGCTATTTTCACAATCACTTATTCAACAAACTGAATTCAGGATAGGAATGATCTACGTACAAACATGAAATACAGAAAACTAATAAATTATAATAACTGACAATGTGATAAGGGATTTAAAAATATCAGTGTAGTACACGTATGAAACTTACTTTCTCTTTTTCCTCCAGGCCTTCTTCTTGCCTCCGGTGGCACGCCTCTTGTGCATCGAATCTCGTGAAATACCTGTATACAAACACAGTTTCCTTCATGTTTTTCTTCAAAATTGAAATTAATCGTTAACGACATTTGAACTGGATTATTACCCATGGTTGCCGGCTGTAGTCCCTAGGGTTCTGTTGAATCCTAAATTGCCCAAACGGCGGTGCAAATGCAAACCCTACTAGGCGAAAAAAGGGAAATAAGAAGGCGAGAATTGCTTTTATATCTAGCGCTCAAAACCCTAATTGGTTAAGTGACAAGATTGTCCTCCCAACTTTTGTTTGGAATAATGTTTTCTGTCTTTGTTTACCTCATCCAAGCGGTCCTTTGTTTACGTCATATATATATTATTATTATTATTATTTTTAATTTTCTTGCCTACCATCACCATTGGAGAGAACATTTTGTAATTTTCATTTAGAGTAAACACTAACCATATTCAATAGTGACATGCCATATCAAATTTATTATAATTGTATTTTGCAACGTGTTAGATGTATTGTGTTGGTCATGAGTTTGATTTAGCGACATCTTCGCTATTTCAATTTAAATTTTATAATTCATATTGACGCATTGGACACATTCCCTCTATATCACCTAATGTAGGTGGGTGCAAAGATACCACATAATGATCACATAACTTAAATTGAAAATAACATACTAATTTTGAAGCTTAAACCACCATCAAACACTTCATTGCTTCAAGAAACATATAAATATGCTATTATATCTCGAATTCCGTAGGAGATGCTCATAAGCTTGGAGAAACTTTGTAGCCCCATGGCAAGACGTAGTTACGTAATGGAAAACATCCTACTCAATTAGCATAAAAGCAATTCTATAATGTTTGTGATTGTGACCACCTTTTGATGCTAAAAATATGTGATTGTGATTGTGACGATCATTTGATGTCAGCTTCTGTCGAGGACGATTCCCGTTTCAGAGATATATGTTCACTTTAAAAAGTTAAATAATTAATAATCCTCTTTAACGTCTTAAAATTTAGGGTGAAATTGTATAATCTCACCGAAACATTTATAAAATCGCAAAGCTTTTAAACAAGACAATTCAACGAGATACCATTCCCTGCTGCCAGGTGCTGCGTTGGCTAATTTCGAATTAGATTACTCAATTTATAATTTTACTTCAATCAGGTCATTCTGTCCAAACTCGTTAGCTGGTCACCCAATGTTTCCAAGTCAAGCCAACAAACTTAGACAGAGTGACTTTATTGGAATACAATTATGAAATCAATGACTCAAATGTCATCTCAGCAGATGAAATTAGAACTCTTATGGCCTGTTTGGTATTCGTTATTAGACTATATTGGACAACATTAAAAATGAAAAAGAAGTTAAAATCTCGAGATAGTGCATACAAAACATACACGTCATCACAAACATTTAACCCGTGCAAAACTATCGTGCATTAACCCTGGAATGAATCCCTGACATAACTGTGGGAATTCTCGATCAAATTAGAAAGCTCGCAGAATATGACTTAAATCACTTTCGTACTCTATCCCGGGATAATGAACACTATTTTGCAACTGATGTGCATCGATCAAATTAATCTGCGTTCTAAACTGGTCGAAAATCCAGTAAATGAATCATAACTTTCAGTATTTTATTAAAGGGGAACCTAAGCGATCACGCTAGTAAGTGCTTGTTTGGTAGGGATTTTGAAAATTGATTTTTTGACTGTTAGAGATAAAGTAGATCTTATCTGTGAGAAAAGAATTAAAAAATAATGGTTGAAATAGTAAAATAATGGTCAAAAAATTGATTTTAATTAACTAAAAATCTGCACCAAATAAGCACTAAATAAAACAGAACCTCACATACAATCTGAGAGAAATACAAATACCAGAAGCAGGAAAAACTCTGCTAGTCATCAACTCCAACCAATAAAAAAAATTAAAAAAAAAAAAAAAAAAAAACGCAAAAAAAAAAAAAAAAAAAAAAAAAAAAAGAAACGCAAAAAGAAAAAAAAAAATCTCTACCTTTTGATGTTATACGAGTGGTACATTCTTGTCAAAGAGACTCGAGACAAATTAACTAGTATAGATCCTCCAGAGTATATCTTGCGATCTCAAGCAATTACAGAGAAAGGAAACAAAGTTATATGTAGAAATCAAACCCCAAAACTGCATAAAATCCCTCGAAAAACTGCTTGCACTGAACATGTATACTTTGAACTAAGCACCAAGTCAGCTCCATTTACGTAAGAAATTTACAGTCCATGTGTTTTATGGAAGTATCTTCACCTAAAATTTTCTTCAGATATCCAAATACTGAATTTTCCTAAGCAGCAATTCCTGAAGAAGCCATTAAGGAGATTAATTTATCAAATAACACAGATATATTGAAGGATATAAACTAAATTTTACGTGACTTCAGGCATTATTCATCTTCATAACCCTTTCAATTCCCAATGAAAGACGTTTTGTTATAACTATGAAACATGTGCATTTTGTCCCACGTATATGCTTGTTAATGTTTGTTAACACATTACTTCTAGACTACCTTAAAATTTATATACCTAAAACATTTTGCCAAGTACATTAATTCAACACATTCGAGTATTTCTCATAGTTGTTGCAATAATTTCACCCAATAATTTCCAGCCTCTATTTTCTAAAATGTTTCTCTCCTGGAGCATTATGACATTTTGTTTCATAAGGTTGTCATAGGGACCAAAGACTGAAGAACCAATACAGAAGAACAACTCAAAAGATAAAACAGTATCATTAATTTCTTCATGCTCCTCTTAGTAGTTGGATCGATTTTTTTTTTTCTTAATAATATGATAATGAAAGTGGTGACCAGGGTAATTGAATTAAGCTGGCGACTTCAATGATATTTCTGCACACGAGCTAAAAAAGAAAAAAAAAATTAATTACATCCTTGATCTTTATATTCATGGTGTCTCAAACTAAATAAGAATCATATTTGAGACTTTTATGATATCTCCGAAAATCAAGAAAGCTAAAAGATTTGGACTTTCATATTGTCAAACAAAAGACGGCTCCACATGATGCTCCTTTCAAGCTAATGACATGAGGTAAAAATGTTATCACTGTGAGTTACATTATCTGGGAAATTGACTGGTATTCATCAATTAGTTAACTCTTACTTAAACAGTTTCACTTACTTCCCCATCTCTCTCGATCTCATTAGTACAAACCGGGGCTATCATGGAATCTAACATAACTAGAAAAATAATTATAATACTAAAACATTCATCTTAATCATTCGGGTGTATTTTCTATAGCCGGAGCACATATTTTCAGGAGATAAAAATACTAGAAACTTTAGTACAAGACGTAGAAAAACAGGATGACCAGTGTTACCTCTATTGGATTGTCTATTTGTAATGTCATAGCCCACCAAAGGATCCTCAGATTCTTTAGCAGCGACATCTTCTGAATTTCCCAGTCCATATCCAAATGAACCAGAGTTATTCAGCTCAGAAGATGTGGTTTGCCAAGTTGGATCCCCATACACTGAGCTACTTCGGTAAAAGTCCCCATAAGATCCTTCATAACCACCGGTTGATGTGGTAAGTGAAGATGTTGTGGCTACAGATGTTCCAACATTTCTTCCAAATCCTCCGGCTGCTAATGAAAAACTGTTTTCTCCACCTCTGTAGCCAACATTTCCTCCACCAAAGACAGAAGAACTACCCCCAAGGAGAGTGGCAGTATGAGAAGTGCCCCAATTCTCACTGTTATTTCCAAAAACTCCAAAACCGCCACTTCCAGAACCAAAGTCTGATCCTGAGTTTGCATTACTTGGAGAAGAATTCAGGCCAGTATTCCCCCACACATTTCGGGAAGAAGAGTTGAAAAGGGAATCTCCACGGCTACTACCTGTATTGTAACCAATGGGAGTATTATACCTGCTCTGATTACCTCCAAAATAGGGGTTCATAAGGCGCCCATAGCCAAGATTGCTACTTAAGTTCGAACCCCCTCCAAAGCCAGAATTCAAACCTTGATCCATATTCAAGCCCATTCCATAAGCTGGAGAACCGAATTGGGAGAGCCCAGCTCGAGCACCAGCTAATGGACTGTATCTACCATCTGTCCTGACTCCATAGCCCCCCAGTGAGGTCAGATTATATCCTTGTACGTAGCTATTTAGAAAGTTATTGGCTCTACCGAAACTATAGTTGTATCCAACAAGAGGGCTACGGCTGGGTCCTGGAGACAATTCTTTTGGAACTGCCCGCTTCACCTCAACCAACTTACCATTGAGTTCGTGAAACGTTTTATGCAACACCCTATCGACTACATCCTCTGAATCGTATGTTATAAACCCAAAACCGCGTGGTCTTTGAGTATTGTGGTCATACATCACTACAACGTCAGTTATGGTGCCGAATTGATCGAAATAATTTTTGAAGTCACCCTCCGTGACAGTTGATGCTAGTCCTCCTACGAAAATTTTTTTAGTTCGTCCGGGACCTGGTGATCCTTGAATGTTACTACTAGTTCTATACATCAGGTGCTGATCATCCCTGGGTACAGCTTTCTTTGCTTCCACCTGAAATTTGAAATGCAAATAAATTGTCTTTAATGGACACTAAAGAAGAAAATCTTAGACTAGGAAGTCTGAGGAGAAAATTTTATTGTTATCAATTTTCAGCTAAAAAGCTGCAGGGACCTAACATCTTTGCCTCCCTATTAAAACTATAGATTGGTAGACAATGGATTCTACACGGAAGGCATTAAGGCATTTTTTGCTATGAAAAAACGAACACCAGGCAGTGCATACTACATTTTTAATACATGGTGGTCTCGACATGATATACGTGAACAAACTACTCACAGTTCGTCCATCAATCATGTGTTTCTCCTTAATGACTCTTTCAGCAACTGCAGGATCGGTGAAGACTACAAAACCAAAGCCACGAGCACGACCTGTGGTACGATCTCTCATGATCACTGCCTCCATTACTTCTCCATATGATCCAAAATATTCTCTGAGGCGATCCTCATCTGTATCCCAAGAAATCCCACCAATAAATAGCTTACCTTGATCTGATTCCATCTTTCCTGCAATTCACTATTCATTTGTCACGAATTTCAGTAAAACTTCCATCATCATAAACAATTTAGCTACGAGATGAAGGAAAAATAATCCTGGCAAACGAATATGTACTGAGGAGCAAAAAAATTTCTGAGCACATGAAGTGTATGGTTGAATTCAAAAATGAGATTAACAGGCGCAACTTTTGATATCAATTTTCCGGGA